CCTGTACCGCCTTGAGCCCATTGTCATATAGCGATGTGATCGTGGGTGAACCACAAGTGTTCGGAAAACAGGCATAGACTCTGTGAGCCGTAAGTATTTAGAAGTCTCAAATCTCACGATTCGTGATGACAAGAGCAAAAAAGCGTTTTGGATGTCGGCAAGGAAAGAATGGTGCAACGAGGAATCAAGAATGCCCTCTGGCTCGAAAATCTTGCAGGTGAGCTGCAGTACGCTGATTTTTTCAGTCCATTTCATCTTATTGATTCAGAGCTGCACTGTTCGCTTCACCGTGGAGCGAGGGCAAAACGAAGGAAGAATTCCCAGAGTAAGTGTCATTTATTCGGAAATTCGCTTTTCAGTAAACCTGCACGTGAGTCAGAATTCTTTCGCATCTTTCTGGGGTTGTGATCTAATGGAGTATGACCCAACAATCTATCGAGAGAATATCTTAAACTCGCTCTTGTCCCTTCCTTAACAAGTGGTCGAGTAATAGTGTGACTGGACAGAATGACATGAACGATTCTCTAATGATTTCGGCATAGTATCAATGTAGTCTGATATTGGCGAAGATGTGAAAGAGCTCTGTAGCAATCTTGGGAGGCTGTCCAGCGACGTACATATTGCGAGTGATTCCTAGGTGGAAGTAGTGGTGCGAAGAACGGCTGCATTCGTCCAGTAGTCTCGTCTCTAAAAATCACCCTAAAGTCCCTGAGATAAGCGAGACAGTGAGGTAATCGTAATCTGCCTGAGGGCAGCGTCCATGGCTTATGATTACCTCACCGTAATCCACGTTTTCAAAACTGCTACGTAAATAACATACGTATCGATCCGACGTGATTGACGTAACCGACGTCCGTTTTCGACGTCGGATGGATACGTATCTAATCTTCTTTCCATAGTCGCCGAAGCAGGGCACATCGTTGTTGGGGATTCCCCAACAGGGGGGGGGTCGTATTTGGCCGCCGGGAGAGGGGGAGGTCATAATGAGTGGGGCAGTCAGTAACGAGCAGCGCAAAGGTGTCAGTGTGATGAGTTCTGTATAGCGAAACTTGCTTTGTAGAAAACCCGGATATTTGAAAAAAAAAACAGTACAAAACTTCTTTATTGAAGCCAATAAAGCCGCGACCTTAACTGAAAAAATATCTATAAGCTGACCATTTCGTAAATACGTAGATGAATAAACATTACAACTCATACCCTGGTTCGCTGCGGTTAATTTGACCGAGGGACCGCGCTTGGCGCGGAGCCAACCGTTTTTTTTTTCTTTCGACAAACGACTGGACTACCATGTCGTTCGCGTCAGACGTTTTCCAGCCGTTGGTCTCCTTTATCGAACTCAGCAATTGGTGGAGCACGGTCTGGCGGCCTGCGGTTGCCGTTCTCCGTGCGGACCCGCCCCATCATCCGCAGCGGACAAGACGGCACACTGCGTAGGTTGGCCATGGACCTCTCTAGATCCTATAAACACATCTGCTCGCGGCTGGATGAGGACTTCCGCGCGCTGAAACGCTCTCACCATGCCACTACCTCTGCGTGGGAGCCCATGCATGGCTTATTCACAAATGAAGCTTTTGGGCACCAAATCAACTACTGCTCGTTTCTATTCCACGAAGGGATGCATCCTAGATGCATTGCTGGGTATCGAAGAACGTACGCACACTTGAAGCGGCACACATAAAACGGGTTTTTCGAGCAGCTCGGAGTTTCCTCAGAAAATCCCTAACGCGATTATCTCATGAACCCCGAGAGTTCAGAAACAGTTTAAGTGGTTTTCGAAAAGAAGAAATCTTCTTATATTCGACACTGGCCTTGGATTCGCAAACAGTTGAGCTTCAAGAAAATTATTTCCGTTCAAACCAGGACAGTTTGCATCCAAAAGCGAAAATCCCCAACAGATCCCAGCGCTGAATTTCTCTCTAAATGAGGCAACCTTTATAAACAATCCAGTACACTTCGGGAAGCCAAAATCTTTTTCTCTACGACTGCTCACTTTCCTCTCTCCCAATGGTCCGCTGTAAAGGAAGATATAGCCCTTCAAAGGCAAGTTACTTTACTTTAGGGGGTCCAAAAAAACGCGCCAATTCAAGGGTAGAACGAGGCGCGCTGCGCGAACACGTGCGCATTCAAATGGCAATTATTCGAACGGCATAGCTGTCAGTTCTTCCCGCGCGAGCAGATTAGAACACTACAGTTTGTTGCGATGTAGACACAACCATTCACTCTACCAGGAATTTCCGAAATGAATCCGGGATCCCTAACTCGCTCAGTTAACCAGCAGTGGTAGAAAATAGTAGAAAATAGTTATAAAGTCTTCCTTTTTCACTTGTTTCATATCGGGACCTTATGGCTTACCATTTTAGATGAAGTAACACACGTATTCGAACGCAGCAGTTCATCTAAACTAAATTCCCGTGAACAGAGATTTTGGTGGGATCCTGTCTTGTGAACCTAAGGAATGTTTAGAGTTTCACTCGTTCAGAATTCTTTGGCTGGGTGACGTTCAGTGCTGGAAGGTGCTCAGAAGCTAGGGGAATTTTTAGCTTGGCACTGGTTTTCTTCCACGTAGGTGTTGGAAGAAAATGCAAATAAAAAGGCGTAGGTGTTGGAAGAAAATGCAAATAAAAAGGCGAAAAAACAACAAACTTTAGTATGGGAAGCCGCATCGATCCAACTATCAGGGGGGGGGGGGGGCGTACGAACTCGACCCAAATCCCCAGCCTGTGATGTGCTCTGCGCCGAAGAGTCGATTATAGGAGAGTTCACACTTCGCGTCTGCATACTTTCCAAAAGCTAGATCGATACCTATTCCTTCTTCGTCTCTAAAAACGCTGGCGTACGCTCGAATCGCTGACACAAAATATGGATGTACTCTATGGTTTAAACGCAGCCTTGGAGTGCGTTCAGACCATGTTGAGCATTTCAAGCTTTTTGGGCGTTTCGAGCACGTAGGAATGTATAGGTATCGGGATCCAGCGTTCTGATAGTCAGCATTTCAAGCGTCCGCCAGCGTTTTCAGCGACTAGGGAAGTATAGGCATCGATCTATCGTCTTGAGCGTCCGCCAGCGTTTTGAGCGCATCAGCCTTCTGAGATGGACACTCATGATGCCGGCGGCCGCTCGAGACGCTGAATCGATACCTATATGTACATGCTTTCCTAGTTGCTCGAAACGCTCGAAATGCTGACAGACGTTGAAAACGCGCTGCCGCAGAGTATGCACGCATCCTTACAAAGATAAGTCCGCGCAGCGTCGCGATCGCTGCAGGTTTTAATTTTAGGCGACTTTGATACGTCTTGAAATTCGATCAGTTTCTGTCTCATCATTGGTCGATGGAATTGAAACATTAAATATTCTCATTCGAAGCCTCTTCTTTCTATTGTTTGGTCAAATCCTTTGTTATCCATGTGCTCGGCTTTTTGACCATGCAACCATTGCTGTTCCTGTGGTCGCATTTGCCGGAGATATCTTCTCAGAATCATTCTTTTCGGAAACGATGGTTCTTACAACTTACATCACTGCAGCTAAGACATCTCAAATGGTTGCATCATACCATTTTCGATGTATTTTTTTGAAGGAATCCACAAGTGAACACAGCTATTCCTTGAGTTGCTCAATCAGTGGAATTTGTAGCTATTTGGATTTTTTAGGACTACAAAACTTTGCGTGGAGCTTGACTGTGTCTCTCTCAATCAAGGAAAATCAAAATCAGAAGTGTAGGTGGTACATAGTTCTCACCCTTATCATCCTACAGTATTCCAAACTGTTTGCCATTTCCATTTTAGTTAGCTCTCTATGTATGCCCGTACGTATGTATTAGTAAGATAAACTGTTCTCAGCGTTCTCAGATGAGCTTTTACTTAGATGGTAAGAGACACGCAATAACGATATATCGTTCATAATGGTGATGCGTAAACTTACGAGGGGAGAAGAGATTAGGTGCGTCGCGCGTTTAGCAAAAGGAGCGGAGAGGGGAATAGAGTCTAAAACCACGCTGTAGTATTACCTTGAGTCTTTGATGTTCCAAATACAGTGTGCGCGTCGCACTCGAAGATGGTGATATTGTAATGTGGGAGAAAGCATGCGAGAGCCTGCGCATCAAATTTGGCTCGATATAGGGAGTTGCGTTTTTCTTAACTGGGATGTGGTGTGTGTGCGTGACAGGGTCTCCGGCAAGCGACAAAACTGTGTCATATTGTTCGTTTTCAGTTGTTGTCTTTTGCCGTCTTCAGCAACTAGTGGAAAATAGGCTGGCGGCGTGCCAGACGCAGCCACGCTGACACGTCCCATCATCCGCAGCGAAAAAACTGTACCTCTTGACGCATAACAGTTCACCGACATGAGTTCTTTTGAAGTGTAGGAAAGTACGAAACGATTGGAACGCCGATTCGTTGATAGACCTGTTGCGCATAGTTATCGTTAACCGATCATTCCGATCCCGTTCCAGAGTAAGCGTTTCAGCCAGCTACACGCCTTTACACGGGTGGCTTTAACTAATGACCCTATTTCCGAGGTACAAGGCTCCGCCTCGAAACTGCGATGTTTCACCCTGAGAAAATGCGTTCTCTGGTTCCATTCTTTGACTCACGAAGAGGGTTTATGGTAGTAGTCAGTGAAATGCCTTCCATAGGTTATCAATGGCTGCACCAGTAGTTTGTTCCATTGCTGCCGCTTATCAGTTCCAAAGAAATACTTGAAAAGTGAAAAGAAAGTAGCAAATATACGTGAACGATGAGTACAGAATATGCAAAAAATCAAAAAAAGACAGCTACTATGTGGCAAGGAACTCTTCAGGCGCATCGTCGCATGCGTCTCTGCGATTCCAGGAAAATGTGCCTTACACATCAGGAAATAGGATCCAGACACATAAGACTGATCTTGTTTCGCGAATTCGACAATTCTGGTCCGGACAATTGCTGTGAATAATCTGTATCAGAGTAGATCACATTTTTCTGCATTTTTTGAATTTCCGTTGAATTATTTCCAGTGCTGCGAAGTTGGAGATGAAAACTCCTAAGACTGAAGAGGCAGAAAACACTGAAGAGGTGGTGAAAGATAGTCAGGAGATGTATGCATTTCCAATCACTGAGGTACAAAACAGCCTTCTTCCTTGATTATCGTTGCAAGTTCGGTTGAAACATTTGGCATTTCAATACTGCTGTCTATCTTTGGTTTCAAGGTGAAACAAAGCGATGATTTCGACTCAAAAATGGATATGATATTCTCTCTATATGAGCGGTACAGCGGTGAACGATGTCAGCTTCCGGAGAGAACAAACTGCCCATTGAGAGACGGTTGGTATCAGGTACATACAGTTGTACAGGTTTATTTTCCGCGAAATTAATGCCTTCTTAAGGAACTTTTCACCTGGATACGTTTGACTATTTCAGTTGTCAGTAAAAGTGGTGCGCACAAGTACTAGATGCTTAGGGCCAGGGCAATTGCTCCTCGAAAGTCTGAACTGTTGGTATCAAACTTGTATGAAATGTTTCGTGGGCCTCTTGATCGAAAGATATCGCAGTTGCGCAAAATTTGTCTAAAGTGGTGTAAATACGTACATTCGCGTCGCGCGAACCAGCTGCTATTCCTGAACAGTTTACTCGTCCGGCTTTTGGCGTTTTGACAATTCGGTTATGGCAGCCCACTCAACAGGTGCGCCATAAATGTGTCAAGAAGAACTCGGAACAGTTTAGGTTTTCTGAGAGACTTCTTCTTCATGGTCTTTACTCTTTTTACATTCATCGTTTCTGTGCTCACGTATGGTTTGTAACATTGCAATTTGTCGGGGCGGCGAGCGCAGCGCGGCACGAGCTCGCGTCCGGCCGCCTTGCTCTACCAATGGTGATCGAGCAATGATCGATGTAGGAAGGAATCAGCCACTGGTGGGAAGGCCGCAGGTGGGAATCGCTGATTGCGACCCGACAGGTCGCGGTGATATATACCGTTTTCACTTTAAATTCACCACTTTTCAAACCAAATTCACCACTTTTCAAATCAAATTCACCACTCTTTTTAGACCGGGCAGTTCACCAACCAGATCACGCCAGACACCACTGCGAACCCCGCCCCGACGGTCACGCCTACTTGTCAGCGCGGACATAGATTTTCAACACATCGACACATGGCGAATCGTGAACTTTCACACATCGACCATGACGACCCCGCCTGCATTCCTTCATAAAGGGTTTGTTGCGAGCTTCGAAATTTCATAACATTTTCACTTTTCTAATTTCACATCCACTCTTCGCACAACGAAGATACCCGTGCCCACGCATTTCTGCACTGTCAATTTTCGATTCACAACTTTGCATTCTGGAACTTTTCCATGAAGCCCCTGCCCACCATGAGAAGCACCGCCCACTTTGAAGAAGCCCCGCCCACTTTTCAAAAATGGTGCAAATCGGCAGTATAGAGCCTTGGCTTGCATGGCTAGGGTATTGCTGGTCATTAGGAACAAACTTTGCCTGATTTATTTGTTCCGAGTGACGGACGAGACCCTAGCATGCAAGCCAAGCTCTATACTGCCGATCTGCACCATTTTTGAAAAGTGGGCGGGGCTTCATGGTAGCAGTCCAAAAATGCAAAAATTTTGAAAAAATATCAAAATCTCGCAAAAGGAAAGCGGGCGTGGCTGAGGGGCGAGCCCAAATTGACAGTGCAGAAATGCGTGGGTACGGGTACCTTCGTTGTGCAAAGAGTGGATGTGAAATTAAAAGTTGAAAAAGTTATGAAATTTCGAAGTTCGCAACAAACCCTTTAAAGAATGGGCGGAGTCGGCATGTGTCATGTGTTGAAAATCTATGTCCGCGCTGACAAGTAGGCGTGACCGTCGGGGCGGGGCTCGCAGTGGTGTCTGGCGTGATCTGGTTGGTGAACTGCCCGGTCTAAAAAGAGTGGTGAATTTGATTTGAAAAGTGGTGAATTTGGTTTGAAAAGTGGTGAATTCAAAGTGTAAATGGTGTAAACTGTATGTGCTAAATAGGTTCCCACCTTAGTAGTCAAAAAGTGGTGAAATAACCCTGTTCACACTGCACCGCTATTTACCGAGTGCTCGCCTTTGGTGGATTCGTCTCCGTCATCGTTTGTCATTCAAACACCCTCTCATTCCATCGTTTCCATACTGTGAAGAGAATCGACCCAAAGATAATCATGAATTAATTCGCCCTGTGTCACAACTCCCCATCTGATAGGAAGTCGTAGGGGAATGACTGAAGCGATGTTAAACTAAGGGTGAGAAAAATATTGCTGGAGAGAAGGCCTCCTGCTTTCCCGCTAAAACGTGTCATTTATGGCCGCCCACAAGATTTCTGAACATTGCTACACTCCTGGCAAGCAGAAACTAGAGAAAAAGAACATGTCTGTCAACTTTCCCGTCGTTGTTCGAAGAAAAGGAGGAGTTCGAGTTACAGGACACTCGTAGCTTGCTAGCGCGAGTCATGCAAAGGATTAGAAGGGCCGGCTCTTTAGTTGCCGCCGATATGATGACTGTGGCTGAAATCTGTGCTGTTTGGCTGAAACAGATCTTCTTCTTGCGGACTAAAGTTTCAAGATCCGCCACTAG